GATTTCTTAAGGATCATGTGACACTGAAGACTGGAGTAATGGCTGCTAAAAATGTAGCTTTGCCATTATAGGAATAAATTACATTTTAAAATATATTCAAATATAAATCATTATTTTGTAATATTATAATATTGTATATTATATTATATTATGATAGTACTGATAATATTACTATTTTTACTGTATTTTGAGCACAGTCTCATGAAAATGCATATAAATAGTACGCCAAATAAAAACGAAAACTCGTGGTATTGATACGCAAAAATGGACGTTGGCGTGCATATGATATGCATGTATTTGGCGTCGAAATCATTCTAATATGCTGATTTGGTGATCAGTACTTATTATTATCAATGTTTCTTGTGGAAACCATGATACATTTTTTCATGATCATGATACCGAATAAATAATGAACAGATAGTTTAAAAGAGCAGAATTTACTTGAAATAGAACTCTTTTGTAACACTGTGTTTTACTCAATTTAATCCATTTCCGAGTAAAAGTACTCATTGCTTTAAAAAAAATGTATAAAACATAAAAAAAGACCGGTAGTGTAACTTTGATTGCTGATTCAACCTGCCCTCCAGAGATCCCTTGTACTCCTAAACCTGTTTTAAATTCTTTAGTACTATTCATTCAATTTTGAGTGACAGCTAGATGAGCTGCTGCTATGTATCTTTCTTTATAATTTTCTCTGTATTTCTACCCAAGGACTAACTCTCCGAGTCGTGTCTGAAAGCTTTACAGCCTTCAGTGGATTCATCACAGAGAGGATCTGATGTTGTCCTCAGCCTTGGTGCACTGAATATATGGGTTGATTTCTCTGCAATTTTGTTGTTCTCAGTGAATGTTTTTATCTAGGTGGACATTGTGGCTGCAGAGTACAGAAATGCAGACTCTGTGACCCGAGATGTGCAGACCTGGATGTCAATTTAGAGGACCAGAGCCATGAGTTACTGGGTACAACTGTGTCAGCACTAATAATGAATGAACTACATCACCTATTTTACCATGCGTGAAGAGGATGAACTTTTTGTTTCTAGAAGTTTTATAAGATCTATCAAATTCTTTATCAATACCACGAGTTTTCGTTTTTATTTGGCGTACTATTTATACGCACTTTCATGAGATCGGGTTAGTATTTTTGATCAAATAAATGCAGCCTAGAAAAACCTTACCAACCCTAAACGTTTTAACGGTAGTGTATACTGGCATCTAACCTTGACATTGTTCAACTACACACCATTTGTTTAATTATTATATTATAATACTGTAATATAAAAATGATTATTGTTATAATAACATAATATTAAAACTAATATTATTGAAGTGTCTATACTACTATGACTACAAACATAAGAGTGCAAACAAAAATTTCACCCCTGTTCATTAAGATAAAATTAGAGAAAAGCTTTGTTAAAACATTAAATCCTGGGTAGGGTACCTGTATCTGAACTTGTCCATAGCTACAGAGAGGTGTGTAGGGTACTGGGGGTGGCAGGTGTAGGTATTGTGGTCATTTTCAGGAAGCAGGTCGACGTCATGCAGGAAAATACAGCTCCAGCCCTCCTCTTTCAGCGCCTCCCGCACTCCAACATTCAGCAACTTCGCTCGGTTAAAGGTGGAGTTCCCTGACTGATAACACAGACTATGAGCAAATCAAGTGTACACAAATGCGTTCTTCAGCAAGAATAGAACACTAATATAGCTTGACAATAAGCTATGAGCTATGTTTACCCTTTGTCCCAGCTACTTCCTCTAATTACTGCTAGGATTTTTTTCCCCCATACAATAGATGTGACAAGTCAGCATAACAATTAACAAGAGACCTGGTGCACAATGTAAATGCCGTAGTGGACCTGCTGCCGCTGCAAAAAGGGGTGCAGATGGTAGAGGAGGGCGCGGAGGTGGGTCTGGCGGTTCCGGTAGGGGACCACGATGGCTGTGTGGTGCCGTGGCTCACAGTCTGG